TACACANACATACATACATATAGACAAACATATATATATATATAATAATAATATATATATATATATAAATATATAAAATGTATATATATATATACAGGTACATATGTACGTATACGTTTATGTATATGTATATGCATACGTATAAGTATATATATATATATATATGTATATATATACATATATACAAATTTACATATATAATATATCCGTACGGCATGAAATCGCTGCGTTCCGTCCAACGCATACAAACACCTGAACAAAAAAAGCATACGCTACTCTTCTTGGAGTCTCGCACCGACTAAGACGTGCTTGGGGGTTTTACCGAGTTTACTTGCCCACCATCAAATGCATTGGGACCCTTAATCCTAAACCCTAATGCGTGAACGGTGTGCATATACCTGCATCCAGTATCTTGACTTTGTTCACATTGCACTTGGCAAAGGCCTCGAGTGCCTGCAACGCCAGCATCTGTAGCAAGCGGTTGGTGGGGTCACGCAGGATACGGAGCAGACCACCCAGGATTTCTATTTTTAAATATTGAGGAGGGGGATGGGTGGCTATGAGTCACGTGTTGAGCACAATGTATTGCGCCAAATACGGCAGACCACCCAGGATTTCTATTTTTAGATACTAAGAGAAGGGGGGTGGGTGGCTATGAGTCACGTGTTGAGCACAATGTATAGCGCCAAATACGGAGCAGATCGCCCAGAATACTCAAGATAGAATGTGGGTAGCTATGAAGCACGTGTGGAGAAAGCATACTTGTCATGGTATCATACGTTTGCGAAGCATTGTTTACACACAAACTAAACCCAGATCTCAACTAAAAACCAAACCTAAACCAAAACCAAAACTGCAGTGCAGAGAGGATCGGATCTGCGCTTTCAGCCCTACTGCGGTCCATGTGATACCATCACCGACAACATAACCTCTCATATCAACGCATGTTAACAACTCCATCCACACAGGACACCAATCAAGCTCACATACGAATCCCACGAAGAGAAGCACAGGACACATTACAACATCATGATCACTACCAACCTACAACCGCACGCCATTGCAACATATCGCGTGCATGCTCTGTGCTTTAGGGCCTGTCACGCATATATACCACCGATCCGCCTGCTCATACTGTCGATTTAGCGATGAAAGACAGGCCAGCGGAGAACGAAGAGATGCCTCAATATATAACAGGTTCTGAGTTCAAAAGATAGACCCTAGATCAATATCACCCAATGCACAATCCAGACACACACAGCATGATACAGACACATGACACACTATGTGTTCCCATACAGTTGCACCGCACAACCACACACACACATGCCCACCAACGCGCCTGAGCAGATCACAGACAGACCCAGCAACCAACGGACACACACACACACAAAGTGATCCAGAAAGACATGACCAAGTACACCCACAATAACACCACAGCCACAACCACAGGCACACATTTACGTACATGTGCACACAAACATCAGCCCACAAAAACACCACCAAAACACAGCCACAGCCACAATTAACACATTTACGTATATGTGCACACAAACATCAGCCCACAATAACACCACCAAAACAGCCACAGCCACAGCCACACACAGGCACACATTTACGTACATGTGCACACAAACATCAGCCCACAATAACACCACCAAAACAGCCACAGCCACAACCACACGCAGGCACACATTAACGTACATGTGCACACAAACATCAGCCCACAATAACACCTCCAAAACAACCACAACCACACACCGACACACATCTCGACCCGAGATACACACCGGGGCTGAGCAGACCCTCGCTCACAACGCCGCTGTACTTGTAAGCCAAGGCATGCAGAAGTATGCAGGCATTCATGGGTCCATGGTCACACTCGACTGTAGCATGAAGGATTGAACACATTGTTTTTAGGGTTTTAGGGGGTTAGGCAGGCATTCATGGGTTCATGATCACACTCGACTTAGTAGCATGAAAGATTGAACATAGTGCACATTCTTGTATTGTCACGTTCTTGTATTGTCAAAGCCTTCGCACACGGTTGAGCCGAGGTAATACAAAGGGATGGCACATACATAGCTCCTATAAGTGGAACGTAGGATTGTGCACGCTGCTATGCGGACATCGAGGATACATCCTAAGAAGTATCAGAAGCACACCTGCGACAGTGGGCGGTACTAATATGGCCACGAATCAATCATGTAGGTAATAGAACACACCAGCCACTATATACACTCTCCAGTTGTATATGCACATATACCCATCCAGCAGATAGTAATCCATCACACCACTACACATACCAGCTCCCATGCGCACGTGATTAAATATAACCCACTCATCAGTTGTATATGCACATATACCCATCACACCCCCACACATACCAGCCTCCATGCGCTCGTTGATGTGGGACACCAGACACTGTATCAAATTCTCTGACACCGGGGGAACCGGTAGCCAGTACTGAATAAAGCAGTTGATGAACACGTGCGAAAACGGCCCAGAGGGCAGCGACGTCAACGCGGTCACAATCGCCAGCCACTCGCGATCTATGAGGCGTCAATGAGAGGACAGAGAAGATCTGATTAGCACAGGACGGCATAGCACACG